ATCATCTGCATATCTTAGGTTGTTGATATTTCTCCCGGCAATCTTAATTCCAATTTTTGATTAATCTAGCCCTGCCTTTCTCATGATGTGTTCTGCATATAAGTTAAATAGGCAGGGCGACAGTATACAGCCTTGCCGGACTCCTTTGAGGCAGGCATAAAACTACAGAAGAGTGGACTTTTTTTGATTCCCATCAGTGGTCCTGACTCCAGCAGGGGCTATGGATTCTATCATTTAATTGGTTTTATGTGGGCAAGAAGATATGGGAATCCCATCCAGGAACTATTTTATTTTTTTTGCAGAGTTTTTTTTTTACCCCAGCTAACCTGTTTAAAAGGCAGAAGAGTTTGGTAGCCCCCTCACAAATTGCATCAAATCATTTTATTAAGGCTAATAATTGATTTTACAAAAAGGCACAAGCCCGCAAAATGAATAAAATTTGGTAGTCGAAAAAAAATCACTCTTACATTATCCATTATCCCTGGATTTTGGTTTTATATGGCTCTCCTTACGGGTGTAAGAATCTCTCAAGTTCTGATCGGAGTCGGTTGTTTGATTTGATTTAATTTGAACGCTCATACTGATTGGATCATTAGCTTGGTTCCAATCGTCCGATCGATTAGGCTGGAAGAACAGAATCGGTTTAAAAGTGAGCTGTTGCTGTTTAAAAGTGTTTTAATTTACAATGCCCCAATGGACGACTGGAAAGGAATCAGTCTTGACTCTGTGTTTAACAGTGTTTCTCAATCTTAGCAACTTTTAAGCTGTTTGGACTTCAACTCCCAGAATTCCCTAGCAGGCTGGCTGGCTGGCTGGGGAATTCTGGGAGTTGAAGTCCACAAGTCTTAAAGTTGCCAAGGCTGAGAAACACTGCTCTATACAATCTTCCTTGAATCAAAAGAGAGATTATTTGATCACTTGGCCTACAAATGGAAGCCTTGCCCTGGTACAATCCACCATTAATTTCATTTTAATTGCTGCAATTTAGGTTTCTCTGCAAAGATCCCTCAGGGCTGCATAGATGGCAGTGAGGCAGCCCCTGTATGAAATTTCCTGTTTGCTACTACAACTTTCTTTTGTTTTTTATTTACTTTTGTTTTATACCCCTGTAATCAAGTAAAGCCTCGCGATTTGGCCAGATGTACATAAATTGCACAGTATTTTTTTTCCTTCTTCTTAAATAATCCCTACAAGAAAAGGATGTTTCCCACCCCCTGTTAGTCATACCCTCCACAAATGAATTAATACCCATGCTTGAAGACCCCTCCCTCAACCTCTAGCCCAGCAAGGGGCTAAAATCAGTGGTGGGATTCAGCCGGTTCGTACCACTTCGGCAGAACCGGTAGCTAATTTTTGTGTTGCCCAGGCCCAGAATGGACTTCCGGAAGCGGCATCCACGCAGAGAACCGGTTGTTCACCTATTTGAATCCCACCACCGGCTAAAATCCTTTATTTGCACCACTCTGTATTTGCAAAAAAATAATAATCTCATTTTTGTCCTCAGCCGGTTTCACACATCTTCGTTTTCCAAGGAAGGAAAGATTGAACAATCTGAGCAGGCATTGCCACGATAACCCCCAATGCAGCATGCAAAACATAAAAATCTTGCTTGAACAGCACAAAATGTGGATGAAAATAATAATAACACACACACATAAAAAAAAACAAACCCTGAGGGCAGCAGCTGTATCCTCTGCCAGCAACACACAGCGCGTTTTTCAGCTGGGGGTTGTTGCTTCCTCTTTCTCACTTTCCCTTCCAAACTGGGAAATGTCAGAGAAAGCCAAGATTTAAAAAAAAAAACGAAAAAGAAAAAGAAAACTGTTGGTAGAAACAAGAGTTTGATCAAACCAGGCGAGACGGAGTAGGTGCAGAATTAGAACTCGGCTCCTGAATCGAGATGGCGGTTATATCCTTTTTTTAGGTTCCATTTGCTCGATTTAATATAGAATGTGTGCCTTCTGCCACCACTTTCACACATTTTATTAAAATTTGGGCCGCTTTCTCCTCAGGCAAGGAGCAGAGAGTCGGGAAAGCTGTCTGCTATCAAAATTGTAAAGATGGAAGCAGGTAAGCGAGGAAAAATTTAGCCCAGGGTTTCCCCACCGTGGCGGCTTCAAGACAGGTGGACTTCAACTCCCAGAATTCCCCAGCTAGCCACGTGTAACCTTCCAACAAGCAAAATCAATAGAGGAAGACAGATTTCCTTCAGGACTGCCTGACTCACTGCACCACTGCAGTGCTTTGCTTAACGACCGTGGCCAAAGAGGTCGTAAAATAGGGCAAAACTCAACGTAACGACTGCCTTGCTGAACAGCAGAGGTTTTGGGTGTAATTGTGATCGTTAAGTCGAGGACTAACTGTAACCCAACAACCTAGTGGGGATGTTGGCCGTCGAAGCCCAGCAACATCTGGAAGGCTCAGGCCCAGATGTTTTAATAAAGGAGAATATTTGCAGCTCAGAATTGAACTGTGGGGTCCTTGGTGCCCTCTGAGCTGGGTGGTTTCCTTGCAGATGTTTCATGACCCAACTAGGGAACATCCTCAGTGCCAGAAGGGGGGAGGAGGAGGAGGAGGAGGAGGGGNTGAGCTGGGTGGTTTCCTTGCAGACGTTTCATGACCCAACTAGGGAACATCCTCAGTGCCAGAAGGGGGGAGGAGGAGGAGGAGGGGGAGGAAGGACTGTGGGGTCCTTGGTGCTCCCTGAGCTGGGTGGTTTCCTTGCAGACGTTTCATGACCCAACTAGGGAACGTCATCAGTGCCAGAAGGGGGGAGGAGGAGGAGGAGGGGGAGGAAGGACTGTGGGGTCCTTGGTGCTCCCTGAGCTGGGTGGTTTCCTTGCAGACGTTTCATGACCCAACTAGGGAACGTCATCAGTGCTAGAAGGGAGGGGGGTCTAGCCCTGATGATGTTACCTAGTTTGGGTAATGAAACGTCTGCAAGAAAACAAGCAAGCTCAGAGGGCACCAAGAATCCCATAGCCGTCCTCTTCCTCCTCCTCCTCTTCCTCCTCCTCCTCCTCCTCCTCCTCCTCCTCCCCCCTTCTAGCACTGATGATGTTACCTAGTTTGGGTAATGAAATGTCTGCAAGAAAACCATGAAGTTCAGAGGGCACCAAGGACCCCGTCGTCGTCATCCTCCTCCTCCTCCTCTAGCACTGATGATGTTACCTAGTTTGGGTAATGAAATGTCTGCAAGAAAACAGGCAAGCTCCGAGAGTACCAACGACTCTTCATCCAGCTGGCTGCTGTGCTTCCTCTTTAAAAGATTTGCAAAGAACGAAGCCCAGGAGATTTTGTGCAGGAAAAAAACCTCCCAGGTCTTTGGGAAGTGGCTGCCTTGACTTTTTTTTTTTCTTCTTCCAATTTTGCCTTTCAACGTTCCGCTCTCCTCCCAGCCTATAAATCTCTCTTTCTATTAATTCCAGAGTTGTAAGTGGGGGAACCTTCCAGATCTGCACGGTGCCGTGTAACTTGAGACGGCATCTTTGCATTTCCAAAACGTAGTTCCTAGGCATTATTAGGGGATGGGGAAGGCTGGAACGCTTGTAAACGGGTTTTAAAACTACAGATTTCCACACATCAGCTGTAATTAAAGACAGAAGGAAAGGCTGTGTTGGGGACGCGACCTGGAGGAGAATCTATCTACCAGAAGTGATGAGTAAAGCTTGAGAAGAAAGCTAAGCTGAAAATTACCTCTTTTGTGGGTGCATTGAAAGATTTTATCTGTCCCAGCTGAGTAAAATCCACTCTCCTTTCTCTGCTATTCTGTTTCTCCTTGATCTTCCATAGAACTGGTTCCCACCCCCCCAAATTGTGTTTGTTTGTCTTTCATTCACTCATTTCACTCACTCATCAGGTTTGACCTGATTTTTCTTTTAACAAAGCACTTTTCTTTTCTTTTTTTCTTCTTCTCCCCACCCTTTGGTATTCCTTTTATTCTGCCCAAACCTGCCTATAGGTTTCCCTTTCCTGTAACTTGCCAGGAAATATCTTTTCAAAAAAACATTTCGTAAAAAGGCCACAGCGGTTAAGTGAATCACCGCAGTTGATAAGTTAGCAACATGGTTGTTAAGTGAATCTGGCTTCACTTATGAAAGGGGATTACATGACCCCGGGACACTGTGACCGTCATAACGATGAGTCAGCTGCCAAGTGTCTGAATTTTGACAACAGTCATAACTGTGAAAAACGGTTATAACTCACTTTTTTCAGTGCCGTTGTAACTGTGAATGGTCACTAAGCAAAGACTTGCAAGTGGAAGGTTACTGTATTCCATTTCTCCCTTTAATGATGGGAAAACTCACCACCTTGCAATCTTCTGGCTTCCTGGATCTTCCCCAGAGCAACACAGGGGTTAAACCTTCTGCCCTTGTCTTTCATCTGCCTGGTTCCCATCAGGTCGTATCCTAAAACTCCTCCTTTCTTTTTTTTTGTCCAGATGATGATTGCGTTGCTATCCAACAAGAGATCGTGATGGTGAAAACCTGCAAACATCAGAACATCGTGGCTTACTATGGGAGTTACATCCGGTGAGTGGTCCTTCTCTGAAGATGGGACAATGCTCCCGGGACTATTTCCCTGCCTTGAGAAAGCGGGCGGGCAGGTGGGTGGGTATCCCAGAACTTCGGGCAAGATCCTGGGGTACAAAATTGGTGTATGACAGAGCCGTGGTGGCGCAGTGGTTAGAATGCAGCATTGCAGGCTAACTCTGCCCACAGCCTGGAGTGCGATCCTGACCGGCTCAAGGTTGACTCAGCCTTCCATCCTTCTGAGGTCGGTAAAAATGAGGACCCAGATTGTTGAGGGCAATAGGCTGACTCTGTAAACCGCTTAGAGAGGGGTGTCAAGCACTGTGAAGCAGTATATAAGTCTCAGTTCTATTGCTGTTCCCTCCCTCCCTCCCTCCCTCTCTCTCTCCTTTCCTTCCTTCCTTCCTTCCTTCCTTCCTTCCTTCCTTCCTTCCTTCCTTCCTTCCTTCCTTCCTTCCTTCCTTCCCAGTGGTTAGAATGCAGTATTGCAGGCTAACTCTGCCCACTGCCAGCAGTTCGATCCTGACCAGCTCAGGGTTGACTCAGCCTTCCATCCTTCCGAGGTCGGTAAAATGAGGACCCGGATTGTTGGAGGCAATACGCTGACTCTGTAAAGTGCTCAGAGAGGGCTGTAAAGCACCGCGAAGCGGTATATAAATCTAAGGGCTATTGCTATTGCTACAATTAGAAAGTGCTTATGGGCAACCTAGATAGCTGGCCCGATCCTTCCAGCCCTTACTCCCATTCTCGGCTTCCTTCAACGCAAGTCTTCTCTCTCTCTCTCCTGTCTTCAGGTTTAAAAAGCTGTGGATCTGCATGGAGTTCTGTGCGGGAGGCTCTCTTCAAGACATCTATCAAGGTAGCTGCTAAGAAAACGGGACAAATCTCACTTGCACTTCCGAAGCTCAGCTTATAGAATCATAGAATCCTAAGGCTGGAAGGGACCTTGGACCCTCTTCAATGCATTTCAGACACGCGGCTGTCCAGTCTCTTCTTAAAAACCTCCAGTGATGGAGCACCCACAACTTCTGGAGACAAGCCGTTCCACTGATTAATTGGACTCCCTGTCAGGAAGTTTCTCCTTGGTTCCAGGCTGCTTCTCTCCTTGATGAGTTTCCATCCGTTGCTTCTTGTCCGGCCTTCAGGCGCTTTGGAGAAGAGCTTGACCACCCACACTTCTGTATGGCAGCCCCTCAGATACTGGAACACTGCTATCATGTCCCCCCTCGTCCTTCTCTTTATTAGGCCAGACATACCCAGTTCTCGCAACTGTTCTTCATACAGTCTCCCGTCTCCTAATCGTCATTGGTCTTCTCTGCACACTTTCCAGGGTCTCAACATCTTTTTTTGAATTTGGGGGACCAGAACGATACCAGCGTGGCCTCACTAGTGCAGCCTAAAGCGGTCGTGTTACTTCAAACAACACTCAGCCTTTCTCAGATATCACCAGGCTGTCTAGCAAGCAGAAGCTCACCTTCAAAACACAGAACAGGCTGGGGACAATCATGCACAGAAAGATGACGCTAAGAGGAAAAGGATTTGCAAAAGAGTGCACCCCATGGGGGAAGACTGCAAAAGAACGTGTTTCCCTGGGGGAAAGGCTTGTTAAAAAGAAGTTTGCAAAGTAGACACGGGGCTGAGATTAAGATTGGAATCACAGGAAACCAAGTCTTCCTGCTTCCTCACCCCCACCCGGTGCAGAGGGAATCAAATACTTCCTAGTTTTTCATCACAATCCCAGTAGTGTTGAGTTGTGAGAAGCATCCCCTGCTTGGCACAATATCAGTCCCTAGCATGTCCAAGAGTCAGTCCCTAGCATGTCCAAGAACCGGATGGCCACTTCTTAAAAGTCTTGGAGAGCCATGATTGACTAGAGGAAGTCAACATCCCTTCTCCTTCCACATGGTGTGTAGGTGATGGCCATCTTAGCCCACAGCTGCCCCCCCACTCAAGAAAAGACGGGTCTAACTGAGATGTTGAGACTCTAGAAAGAGTGCAGAGAAAAGCAGCAAACATGATCAGGGGACTGGAGGCTAAAACATAAGAACAGTTGCAGGAATTGGGTACGTCTAGTTCAATGAAAAGAAGGACTAGGGGTGACATGATAACAGCCTTCCAATATTTGAGGAGCTATCACAGAGACGAGGGGGTTGACCCATTCTCCAAAATACCAGAAGGCAGGACAAGAAGTAACAAATGGAAACTCATCAAGGAGAGAACCAACCTAGAACTAAGGAGAAATTTCCTGACAGTGAGAACAAATAATCAGTGGAAAGAAGATTTGGATACTCCATCACGGGAGGTTTTTAAGAAAAGATCGGACAGCCATCGGTCCGGAATGGTACATGGTCTCTCGCTTGGGCAGGGGGTTGGACTAGATGACCTCCAAGGTCCCTTCCAACTCTCTTATTCTGTATTCTAAGATACAGCGTGGGGAACTTTCCTTTGCTCTGATCTTCCAAAGTGTTTAAATTTTAAGTACAGTTGTTAAGAGAGGAGGTAACACACACACACACATAAACACACGCACACAAACATCATCAAGCGAGTCATTTTGAGTACCAGGTTCGTAAGTTCCTCGGGGAAGGAGTGCAGTTGAATTTAAAAAAAAAAGGCAATCCTTTTTTTGCAACAGAAGTGAAACCAAGTGCGGTTGTTGGCTTTGTGTAGCATGTCAGTAGCACCTGTTTTAAAGGAAGAGACCCCACAGTGTTCAACTGGCTTACGCTAGGTTGCAAACTTCCCCCTTTGCAGTCTCTGCGTGTGTTGTTTTGCACTACAGGGCTGACTTCTGCTGCTTACAAGGAGAACAAAAAAACCCGTAAAGGACACAAGGGAGCCACAGAGCTAGGCAGTCCCATTTCTTGGACAAACACACCCATGTTCCTGCAGCTTCACAAACGTTTTGTTACTTTTCGGGCGGGTTGAAAGGAGAATTGTGAACTGGCCTGGAGGAATTACTGTGTGGCAGGTTGCAAATAGTCCGGTTGCAGTAAGCTACAAAGAGTCTAATCCAGGGGTAGGCAACCTTGGCTCTTTTATGACTGGTGGACTTCAACTCCCAGAATTCCTGAGCCAGCCGTGCTGAGGGGAAAGGGAGAGGTTTCCATGCTGAGTCATGCTGGCTGAGGAATTCTGGGAGTTGAAGTCCACGAGTCATAAAAGAGCCAAGGTTGCCTACCCCTGGACTAGGCCGCTTTATGACTCGTGGACTTCAACTCCCAGAATTCCTGAGCCAGCATGGCTCAGCTTGGAAACCTCTCCCTTTCCCCTCAGCACGGCTGGCTCAGGAATTCTGGGAGTTGAAGTCCACGAGTCATAAAAGAGCCAAGGTTGCCTACCTCTGGCCTAGGCCTCTATTTCTCAACCTTGGCCACTCGGAGATGGGTGGACTTCAACTCCCAGAATTCCTGAGCCAGCATGGCTCAGCTTGGAATCCTCTCCCTTTCCCCTCAGCATGGCTGGCTCAGGAATTCTGGGAGTTGAAGTCCACCAGTCATAAAAGAGCCAAGGTTGCCTACTCCTGGTCTAATCAGAAGGAAAAACTCCCTTCAAGAAAGACATTTAAAAGCCTAGCCTGGAATCGAGAGATTCCCTGGTCCGGATCACTCTCTGCTTTTACTATGATCTAGTTGCAAATTGAAGTGTGTGCTTAGCTTAGGAGAGCTTCTCCTAAGAAGTCTTCAGATCTTCTAAAGAAGCTGCACTGATGTGATTACCTAGTTTGGTAATGAAATGTCTGCAAGAAAGCCACCGAGCTCAGAGAGCACCAGGGACTTCGCCAACCTTGAGCTTCAAATATTCTCTTCTATTGGACTAAGAAGTCTTCTGGCTAGTTGTGTTTTTGTCCTCTTCTTCGCCAAAGAAACCTCCAAATACTCTGGAGATGTTGCCACCGATGGGATCCACTTGCGGCTGAGCTTTCAAGATTTCATAAACGTTGGGAACCACCAGGAGGACCATCCCACCTAGCGTCAAAGTCCTCCCAGTTCCAACATCAAACTCTCTGGAGATGGGGCTAAAGTATGAAAGAACGTAAAAACAGGACCTATTGGATGGGATCTCTGGCCCACACAGTCCAGCAGCCTGTCGGGGAAGTAGCCAGCTGACCTGCTCATCTCCCACCAAATGGCCTTCAAAAGCCATCCCAGAACCATCCAGGCCAGGAGGCATTGATCTCCAAGACTTCCATGAATTGGCCCAACTCTTTATAAGCGAGACAAGTTGATCACCAGCATCGCCCGTCTCAAGGAGCAAAGTCCAAAGTTTGGTTGTGTGTTGGTTGTAAAAAAATATTTTCTTTTGACCGTCCTAATTCTACCCTCCAGGGCAGAAGGAAGCAGGAGAACCACTTTACAATGCCTTAGTAAGGCCACACTTGGAATACTGCATCCAGTTTTGGTCACCACGATGTAAAAAAGATGCTGAGACTCTAGAAAGAGTACAGAGAAGAGCAACAAAGATGATTAGGGGACTGGAGGCTAAAACATATAAGGAACGGTTGCTGGAATTGGGGATGTCTGGTTTAACGAACAGAAGGATGAGAGGGGACATGATAGCAGTGTTCCAGTATCTCAGGGGCTGCC